TGATTTGGAAGATCTCTAGACATCCAATAGGTAAAAGAAGTGAAGACAATATTATTTTTTTCATGTACCTCTGAAAGGTTACAATGGCAACATGGCCTGAATAATTAAAAACAACAAAAACAAACAGGCAATTACTGAAACAGCTGCAGTACATAACAGAAAAGAAAATTTTGCTCATTCAAAACTTCTTCCAAACTTCTATTTTAAGTAATGAATTAACCAAAAAATAAAATAAATAACCAAAGAGGCTATCCAACTCAAAGTATAGATTATTCACTAACATCCAAAAAGTTCAAACTAGACTCAAGTTTTATGCATAAAAGTTTGCTTATACGCCGATTTTGCTGAGAAATGACAAATAAACCAAGGGACTTACGCTAAGAGTCGAGCTCGGACTAATGGATCCAGGTAAAAGCAAAAATCAAAATCCAGATCCTTAAGTATGGCTCTATCCTCAACGATTGTTTTACTGCAGGCTCGGCCTATTGAAGAGCCTTTGAGATCATAGCACTTATCTATGCAAATTTCTGATGGCACCATGTTTCCCCAAACAGCACAGTAAACCTGCTCATTAAAAAGCAACAATTGATTACAAGAAACTTGAATACAATAAAGGATCAATTTTGTTCAAGTAGGTTGGAATTTTCATGGTATGGCTCTTTTGAACACCCTCAATCTAGAGGGACTACCTGACATGGTGGAGGCAAAACTACCTGACATGGTACCTCCAGCCTTCTAGGCTACTCGCATGCTATAAAGTCCTCAATTGGGGTTAACAATGCTAAGGTGAAGACCAACATAAGTAATAAATCACATGCATTTTTCCATATATAGTAAATGGTTATATAACAATCAAATTATATTTCATCAAATTTGAATAAAAAAAACTTCATTTCTGAGCTACTGAGAAGATCATACCTTAATCCCTCCCGCTGGCCTGACAACATGAAGTCCGTACAGTTTTATTAATAGTGAGGCCCGATACTTCTTAACATGGCGGTAATAGTTTGGAAGCATCTCTAAATATACCTATGTGAAAAGGTAAATATAGTAAAATGCTTAGATTGCTAATAAAGATATAAAAGCAAAGGAAATTTCACAATTCATAAATAAATTAATCTTTTGAAACACAAAAATTTGGACATAGTATGAGTTAAGTCTGCACTTTCTGATCAAACAAGAAGAAAAACAATGAGAGAGAGGAAAATATATAGCGGAGAGAATCCTTTCAGAAACAAGTAATAGCTACTAGTTTAACTCTTGTTCAAGTATTATTATTTTTTAAATCAAAGAAGTAACAAGTTCTCAACTTACAGTATTCATATTAATACAAAAAGCAAAAAAAAATTCCATGAAATGTGTATATGATTAATTGTTTGTCTAGTAAATTTCAATTGATTAAGGGCAAAATGTCACTAGAAGTTTAGTTGGTTACCTTCAGTTCAGACTTCCGAAGGGTTTTAATCACAAATCGATTGTCATTGGATGATACAATTACCCTGCCATATCTTCCCGGTAAACAAACCTCCTTTAGAGTCCGATGTCCACATATTGACAGCTGATACTGGTCATAATCAATACTATCAAGCTCCAGCATACGTCTGAAAACAATCTATTGGTTACAGCTTTTGCAAAGTCAAAAAAAAAAAAAAAAGCAACAAACACCGGCATATGTGCATAAACTGTATACATATATGAGCACGCACACACATATACGAACATGCATTAGAATTACATTAACTGCAAATAATCATAACTTAAGGATAGACTTTTGCATGTTTCAATTTCTTTTCAATGTGCATCTCTTCACCTATTTTCATACCCTGTCTGACATAACTATTTTTGCTTGACCACTTTTTTCTCCAATGGGCCAAAATCAAGTAAGCAAGTTTTAAGGGTTGAACTGACCAACCTCCAAGGTAGGGTTAAGATATGCACCTTAGTTTTACATTTCAGTATCTTCTATCGCGTTATTATATTAGATAGCATCACTCTTGCATTTTTTTTTTCTTGGTAAGCAGTGCACTAAATCGCTTGTAATAAAATGAACAGCGAAACTTGATAAATTAAATCTATTTGGACGAATAATTTCATTTGAAAGAAAATTACAAAGAAACCTGAAAACTGCAGGACCGTAATCTTTCCATTCAAAGTCAGTTGTGATATAAGGAAGTTGTAGAAAGTCCTGTCTAGAATATTTTATGCAGTTAGTTTTAGTAGCTTTGAAGTCAGCTGGTGAAAACTCCTCTTTCAAAAGCTCCATGTGTTTTCCTGCAAAGTATCACATGTTACAAAGATGTAATGAGTGCTGAATATTGTACTTGTCAGCCATACATCACACTTTACTACATTATAGTGTGGCAACCTAATCAATAATTCAGATTCACAGTGTGGCAACATGTTATTCGTTTGCATGAAATGTACTGTTTTAAAGACAAAGCAATGCAAAATAAATTTGATATATACATTTCTGCAGTACAAAAAGAATTTGAAGATGAGAATTAAACAAGGCCGCATATCTGAAATGCTTTGGTTAATCTGTTGTAACTTATCTGTGATGTATATCAGAACAATTGACATAAGAGGTTATCATCTCTTTTTTGTGTTGGTCCACAAATACTGAACAACATCCTAGCCTTTCATTCAAAGTGACTTGTTATGCCCTTCAGGCACCAACTTAGCTGCAACATACTCACATAACTCGTGCTAAAGCTATTCGTATCCACATTGAGAAAGAGCACCATCTATCACAATGAAACAGCTATTTTGCACCCTCCTACTTCTTTTTTTTCTTTTTTCTCTTTCGATAACCTCCAACTTCCTTCAATACTTTCTTCAACATATTAATTGCAACGAAAATAACTATTTTTATTCGAATAATCAAAACTATCATACAAATAATCAAAATTCATTGGAAGAAAAAAAAATGTAAACTTGATGCAAAATTGCAGATGGGTCTTCCTGTATCAGACATCATCAAACCAAAAGTTACAAAACCTACCAATCAAAAGAGAAAAATCCTAGAAACATGAGCTGACACA